GTACCAGTGGTTTTTACGTAAGTTTCAGCTGAGACCTTAGCATTGGTGGTCTTTGGCTGGGCTTTAGCGCTGGTCGTATAAGATTTAACTGGACCTTTCGTACCAGTAGTCTTTGCATAAGTTTCGGCTGAGACCTTAGCATTGGTGGTCTTTGCGCTGGTAGTTATTGTATAAGATTTAGCTGGGCCTTTAGTACCGGTAGTCTCTGCGTATGATTTAATTTGGCTTACAGCATTGGTGGCTTTTGTATAAGGTTTGGTTGAAGTTATAGCATTGCTGGTCTTTTCTTGGCCTTTAGCACTCGTGGTTTTAATTGCTTCGTGGGAGGTGCAAGTTTTATGATGGTTGTTTTCAGGATACTTGTATTTAGGGTGTTCGTGTATGGGATGTTCATGAGGATGGTGTTTGTTGAGATGAGTAAATTCGTGGTGAGGTTCGTCGGCTTGTTCGGATGAAGGAGGTCCGTAGTGGTATTTACCGCGCTTATGATGATGTTTGTGACGTTTGTGACGTTTGCGATATTTTAAGCCCTGTTTTTCGAGATGATGTTTATGATTTTTATGATGTGTACGATGTATATGGTGTGTATGATGTGTATGATGTTTTAAGCCCCGTTTTTCGAGATTAAATTCTGAATTGTCATCTTGTTGACCGGTAGTGAAGGATAAAAATAAAAGAATAATGAGGGCGAATAAAAAGGGAATGTAACGAGGTAAAAACATCTTGGATGGATTAAAATCCCAATGTGAGGGAATGTAATATTAGGATCTATTACCGTTCAGAATAAAATTTTGACCCTTTTTATAACGAAAATTGATATTATCATAAGCATACTAATTGGTTTAGCGTTTATACGCATGAATGTAAACGTGGTATATCAGATCAGTTCTGTTAGTTGTAACTTGTTTAATTAATGAATAAACCTATTATTTTACCTTAAGTTTTAAAGAATATTGATAAAGATCTAATAAATTTTTGTTAATTTTGACCGACATAGTAAATAATAAACAGTAGCACAAAACAACAAACAATAAATGCGATGTCAAAAGTATGGATAAAATTATATAAGATCTTCCGTAAATATCTTATAATCCAGAGATTAGTCAGGAAATATTGTTAAATTTTTATAGTTAAAGTTAAAACATAAGCTCAATACTATTATTGTATTACAATTTGTGTCAGTTGCTAAATATTAAAAATTAGAGTTTCAAAATATTAATGATATTCAAATGAATGCATAATCGTACAAGAAACATAGCATATAAAGTTATACGTAACACATATATACCTGTATTTTAATATAAAAAAATTAAAGCAAAAACTAAGATTTGGACACATAATAAACTAAAGAGCAATAAATAAGATTAAAGACACTTGATATATAAACTCATTCAAAAACCTTATATAAAAGGAAGTAAGGCCTTAAAATCCGTAATAAAATTATCGAATTCTAATTTAAATTATTTAAAGGCAATTAATTTCTTTAAATCTTTACGTTAAATTTCTAATTTTCTATTTGTCTTTGTGGATAAATTGAACTCGGGTTATTCCTGAAACATAAAGAATATTATTAATATAATACAAATTAAAATATTATTGGAAAGGATTTGAAATTAGTATTAGAATAAATAATAATAAAAAATCATAATTGAATTATAATAGTAATAATAAAAACATAATAAGGGAAATGTAATCGAATAATAATAATGTAGCAATATAATAATAAAGAATATTGCCAAAAAAATTCGATCATTTGTTTGGATCCACATACAATCTAGTATTTATAAAGGCAAGACGTATGCAGCTTAATTTGCGTAATATTTAGTTTGTTTTATGGAAATCACTTAAATAAATTGCGTACATATTAGTCTATTATTTGTGTGATACCAAGGGAAAATGGGACTTTAATCATATAAAATTTATATGATTGAAATCCCATTTTCCCTCGGCATCATTTATTTATTAAAATCTACTTGTAAGTAAAGTAATAGAAATTTGAATTTATTGATAAATAGAAATTTATAAACTTGTTTACAAACATCAAAATTTTGTGTAATGTTAGATCATTATTAATAATTGAATAAATTTGAATTCGGTGCAAATTTTTATAGATATTAGTAGCGTATGCATTATGTACCTTGTAAATATTTCAGAGGAACATCTACGCACACACATATGTGAGTACGTAATGTTTGTCATGAATTTACAGCTACTTATGTAATAAGAATCAAATTAATTTAAATAAATTTATTTAAAAATTCGGTTTGAAATGGAAATTTCACGTTAAATTGAACCAAATGAAATTAAGAGATGAGGAGGGTCAAAAGAAAGAGATTCTGTTTTTAACTTTTTAATCAAAATACAATAATGTTGTCAAAACAAATTTGGTCAAAATTTTATCAAAAACGACCAGCGCTAAAGCCCAGCCAAAGACCACCAATGCTAAGGTCTCAGCTGAAACTTACGTAAAAACCACTGGTACAAAAGGTCCAGTTAAATCTTATACAAAAACGACCAGCGCTAAAGCCCAGCCAAAGACCACCAATGCTAAGGTCTCAGCTGAAACTTACGTAAAAACCACTGGTACAAAAGGTCCAGTTAAATCTTATAAAATAACCACCAGCGCTAAAGCCCAGCCAAAGACCACCAATGCTAAGGTCTCAGCTAAATCTTATGTAAAGACTACCGGTACTAAAGGTCCTGCTAAATCTTATACAATGACCACTAGCGTTAAAGGCCAATCAAAGACCACCGATGCTAGGGTCTCGACTAAATCTTATGTAAAGACCACCGATGCTAGGGTTTCGACTAAATCTTATGTAAAGACTACCATTGCTAAAGTCTCAGTTAAATCTTCAAAGACCACCGATGCTAAGATCTCTGCAAAAACCACCAGTGCTAGGATCTCTGTAAAGGCTACTAGCGTTAAGGTTTCGGCTAAATCTTATGCAAAGACCACCACTACTAAAGGCCAAAATAAACCTTATACAAAGGCAACTAGTACTAATGGACCGGCAAAACCAAAAACCACTAGTGCTATAAACAAACCCAAACCTTATACAAAAACCAATGAAGATCTATTCACACATCGTGCAAAGACTACTAGCGTTAAACCTTATGCAAAGCCCACCAACACTAAATACACAAGATCTAATAGCCTAGAAGATCTACATAGCCTTCACGCAGAACCCACACATGTTGATGACGCCAGTGTTGAAAGCCTAGAAGAAATACTTCATAAAAAGCACGCCAGCACTGAATCTCATGCAAAGACCACCGGTGCTAATGGTCATATTAAAACTTATGCAAAGCCTACTAGCACTAAAAGAACCAGTTCTAAAAGCCTAGATTTACCTAATCTTCACGCAAAGCCCACTAACATTAAAAATACTAACGTCAAAGGTATAGAAGGTCTACTTAAACTTCATGAACATACCAGCACTAAACCTTATGCAAAGTCAACTGGCGCTAAAGATAAGCCCCATGCAGAGCCCACCAGCATTAAACCTTATGTAAAGCCAACCAGTGCTAAAGAAATTGACACAAAAGGTCTAGAGCACACCAACATTAAAGACCAACCTAAATTTAATGTAAAATCTACTGAAGCTAAAGAACACGAAAAACCCACCGGTGCTAAAGGCCAAGTAAAACCCACCGGCGTTAATAACGAAGGTAAATTTCGTGTAAAACCCACCGAAGCTAAGGACCAAGAAAAACCCACCGGTGCTAAAGGTAAAGCAAAGCCCACCGGTATTAAAGACGAAGATAAATCTCGTGTAAAGCCCATCGACAACAAAGATCAAGAAAAACCCACCGGTGTTAAAGGCAAAGCAAAGCCCACCGGCATCAAAGACGAAGATAAATCTCGTGTAAAGCCCATCGACAACAAAGACCAAGAAAAACCCACCGGCGTTAAAGGTGGAACAAAGCCTACTGAAGCTAAACATTTTTTAGTAGAAGCTGATGTTAAGGCAGGTCACAGATAAATAATCACAATAATACAATGAAAGTTGTAAAACTTTAAAATAGTTTTCTAGCAATCTTTCATGATTAATAAATATAACACAAATAGAATAGTGTAATATCAACTTATTTTATATTTTTAAATGTAATTAAGACTAACTTTGAAGTAATGTTCTAATTAAAATTTCCTTTGGCATTTCATAAATATTTATAATTTTTTGACCGTCTTATTTTGCAATATCTGAGAGTTCAATGTGAACTAGATTATATCAATTTGTTTGCCATGCATTAGATACTATCCATTCATGTTTTTGAAAAAGTTGCTACAAATCATAATTTAAAAATAAATTACAATGTTATATTTTTGTAAAACATTTATCATGATCAAGATACAGTAATAGCTTAATAAAGATGCGTTTTACGCTTTAAAGCAAAAAATTTTAAATTATGCCAATATTGTACGTAAATTTGAATATCAAGAATATGCTTTATTAAATATACGTATGTGAATTTACAGTAGTATTTAACAAAAGTTTAATTCAAAAAAGTTTAATTCAATATTGAAAAATTTATACTGATTGCGAAATGACCTATATTATTTTTTTAATTATACACTTCATATAAAAAACTGTTCAGTAAATATGAACAAAAGCTTTTGGTAATAACTCTATCACCAGCCTTAGCTAGTTCTTCTTTTAAACAATCTTTGTTACAACAAAGTTCATAACAAAAAATAGGGGTAGCCTGATTGGAAAGGTCTTCTGTAACTGTGTTTTCTATTTTAAGGGCCAGTTGATTCCCGCTGAGAATTAAGACTATTAGAGTGGTGTTTTTATTAAGGGAATCTATTAGTGCCTTTCCTCCTTCAAATTTAAGAATATTATTACCAATGTCTAAAAAAGTCAAGGTGTTATTCATACAAAGGGCTTCTGCAATCGCCTTTCCTCCTTCATGGCCAATTTTATTACCATTAAGATTGAAATGTGTTATAGTATTATTTTTGCAAAAAGTCTCTGCAAATGCTTTTCCATCTTCAGAGCCGAAACGATTATTGTACAGTTCTAAAACCATCAAAATATTATTTTTGCAAAGAGCTTTTGCTAATGCTTTTCCACCCTCAGGACCAAGTTGATTAATACCGAGGTTTAAATGAGTCAATTTAATGTTTTTACAAAGAGCTTCGGCGAAAAATTTTGCACCTTCAGGGCCAATATTATTATTACTAAGATCCAAAGAAGTTAAGGAGTTATTTATATAAAGAGCCTCTGTTAATACTTTTGCACCTTCATGGTCAAGTTTGTTATGGCTAAGATCTAAGGAAGTCAAGGTATTATTTTGATAAAGAGCCTTCGCTAATTCTCTTACTCCTTCAGAACCAAGTTTATTCCAAGCAAGATTCAAAGAAGTCAAAGTGCAATTACCGCAAAGAATCTTTGCTATTATTTTTCCACCTTCAGAACCAAGTTCATTTCTAGTAAGATTTAAAGAAGTCAAAGTAGAATTTCTGCAAAGTGTTTTTACTAATATTTTTACTTCTTCACAAATAAGTATGTTACAAGTAATGTCCAAAGCGGTTAAATTCTTATTTGTACAGAGTACTTCCATCAAAGATTTTCTTATTCCTGAATTAAAGTTATTGCGTTGAAGTTTTAGAGAAGTTATGTTGGTGTTTGTATTAAGAATTTCAATTATCTCGTCATCGATAGATCCATAAATTTTTAAAATTTTAAGTTTATTACATTTTCGTAAAAACATTTTAATCAACGAGAGTCTAACATTATGAACCATAGGAATCATTCCATAAGAATAAATTAGATAATATGAAAGAGGACGAAGCCATTTTTTAATACTTGAATATAAATTGTAGCCATCAATAGAGGTAGTATAAGCTGTATATTCAAATAATGGCTTTGAAAATTTTGGAAGCTTTATATTTAGAGGAATAAATCGTTTTTGTTCCTCAATATTTAATGATAAAAAATACATCATTATAATCTTTTCATTGATTAAATAATCCAGTGGTTTGCTCCACAATAATGGCACTGCCATTCTACACCATTTTCGATTTACAAGAAGGCATGAAAATAAACATCCACGATATTTCGTAAGATCACTGAAGTTTTTAAATATTTCATAAAGGCATTCATTCGGTAGTTGTTCCATCATGTTAAAGTGTAAAGTTTATGAGGTACAGCAAAAATTACATTAAATACATTAGTATGTATGTACGTACATATGTGTTACAACCTTTAAAGGTAACACAAGCACAATCATAGTTTAATTAGTCATTGTTGGAATCACATGACCAAAATATACAAGGTATCGAGTTTTACGAAAATGGAACAAAGGGAATGATTATGAAACAATACATAAGTGACGCCCAGATTTCAGCTTTTACAGCTGTTTTCAAAAAGGTGTGAACAACGATTCCCACATACCTAGAGATGGGCACTATGCGCATTTTTGAACTATACCATGCTGCATAATGCATGTGACTTTCATGAAGCGCATGA